GTAGACTTCGTAAAGTTAATCTTGGTTATTTGGTATCTGTTCGTCCGAAAAGATTTGATCAATTTCAAAAGTAAATTTATGATTCCAACTGACTTAAATCTGTTGATCAGAATATTTTTTAGGTACTTTATCGAAAGCTTTCTTAATATAGAAATATTGTACAACAACTAGTTTCTTCTGGTCACGTGTGCGAGTAACCTCGGTAAAGATGTCTGTCAGACATGTACTGCACGACCTTGTTCTAATGAAGCCGTGGTGTTATGGGTATATTAGATATAGTTTAGGTAGGTGATCAGAAAGTTGAATTTGTACCACACTTTCCGTTATGCATTATATAACTGCAGTGATATTTATGGGTCTAAAGTTTTTGATCAGGTTTCTCGGTCCGGATCCGTGTTTGGGAAAACTTACGTTACTCTCCAGGTTTCCGGATATGTACCTTAATCTACATATAATTTGTATATTTTAAGTAATAGAGTCTGTATGTCCGGAAATGACATTTTATAAGGGATTGAAGGGATGTCATCGGCATCAGAACTCGCATGTGGCCTAATATTTTTAATGGCGGCATGTATACTCCTAATGTCGAAGTTCATGTTACTACGATAATTTTTGCTGATGCAGTTTATGTTGATATCTGAAGCCTAATCAAGGAACTATGACACTGGATAAAAGTAATAATACAAAAAAATGTAAATGGCTCCAAAACCTTCGATAAAAAAGGGAAGATAGATAATTGTATATCATTATACTACTTTCAGCACTACATTTTATATTTACACACAATCCCATACTCACAGCTTCTTTCTGAAACGCCTCCATTTGTCAGTTGTATGTCCACTCATACCTTGTTTACACTTGTTATCTTTAACTTATTAAAATGCTGTTGCTTAACAAATATCTTCAGAAAAGAAAACTTGACTGAGTAATCAAACCTTAAAAACTCGTTCATGAATATTAGCTACTCTGCCTCTCGTCCTTTCTTTTACTTGCTCACTCTTTCAGCCCCCTCGTGATATGGAACGAGTGACTTCATCCTGCAGCATCTTTGAAGCCTTAGATATTCCAAACGGACATACGATTGCGATTTCTAGAAGCTTTTACCTTCAATGGGTCTATTTTTGACCATCAGTTGCACATTCGCAACGCAAATTTCATGAAACGCGCGAACTGTGATACTGACTGAAACCATTTACATTCATATCTTATAAATGATCAACTCAGTTGAGTAGATTACCACACTAAATATTGTATCATTTGTAGCTGTTTGATCTTGCTTGTAAACTGTCATGGCTCGTGTAACAAACCGTTATTTGAGAATAAATTATTGAAGGGATGCCATCGACACCAGAAATCGCATTTAAATAAATAGTAATAAATAATAAATAATAATTTATTCTCAAATAACAGTTTGTTACATGAAGCATGCCAGTTTACAGGCAAGATCTAATCGATACAATATCCACTGTAGTAAATTACATAGCTGTGTTGATAATTTATAAAGTATGAATGTCAATGGTTTTAATCAGTATCACAGTTGGCGCGCTTGATGAAAGTTGCGTTATCAATGTGCAACTGATGGTCAAATATAGGTCCTTTGAAGCTGGGAGCTTCTAAATGTCGCAACTTTATGTCCCTTTAAAATGTCTAAGGCTTTGAGGATGGTGCAGGATGAAATCTTTCGTTCCATATCACAGGGGAGCTCAAAGAGTAAGCAAGTAAAAGAAAGGACGAGATGCAGAGTAGCCAATATTCATGAACGAGTTTTTAAGGTTTGATTACTCAGTCAAGTTTTCTTTTCTTAAGATATTCGTTAAACAAGAGCATTTTAATAAGTTCAATATAATAAGTGTAAACAAGGTATGAGTGGACATAAAACTGTCAAATGAAGGCGATTCGGAAAGGAACTGGGAGTATGGGATTATGTGTGGTTGTGAAATAAAAGATTTTAATTGCGTTATGTATAGTCGTATTGTCGAAGTTTATGATACTAAGATATTTTTTGCTGATGCAATTTAGGTCGATATCTGATGCATGAGATGTATTCCTACTGTGTGAAAACCATTCACCTAATAGTGCACACATGACGATTTGGTCATTATACGTCACTACATCGTACAGCAATTCTGATTTCAAGCATCGTTGAGATTTATAATAATAACGGTTACAAGGATGATTGATTAACAATGTAATACAACTACACCTCAATCGTCACGATATAAGTTTGAATAGTTTGCGAACTGTGCATTTGTAATTGTAATCCTCACTTTAAATTGACAAATATGATGTCGTTATAATTTCTTATCAACCAATCTGTTTTGATACCATTTAAGTATTCAAATTCAATATTTTATATTGTCTGACAAGTGTATGTTGTTTTCTCTCTCTCTCTCTCCCAGTAAATCAGTTAAATTTATCTAAGGACGTCACGATTTGGACTTTGTATTCAATACAAAAAACAAACAATCAACATTATCTATACAGTTTTTATATTAGAAATATAAATGTTTGGTCTGTACATTTGTCATATAACGATAATCTATGGACCCATTGACTATGTATTATTTAACAAATAAATTACAGTTCAACTAATTTTAAAGAAATAGTCTAGTCAATATTAAAGATTTTTCACATTTCATATGACTAATTGATTATAGCTTAAACTCAGTTGAAATACTGTTAATATTGTAAGATAGTTCTCTGTTACTATGCAACACTGGAGCTTATATTTACGAACTAATCATTTGTAATTGTAATCTGACTTTTCCAATCCTTGCTACGACGAGTCAAATATGGTATCATTATCTTTTCTTATCAATCAAACTGTTTCAATAACATTTTGCTATTCCGATTCAATGTTTTATGTTGTCTGACAAAAGTATGTTGTTTTCTTTCTCCCAGTTTCAGTAACCGAATAATATTTATCCCAGAACATAAAGATATGAACTTTGTATTCAATACAAAAGCAAACAAAGAACTTAAAGGTGACAGAAAGATAAGGATTGATAACCAGCTGAATGTTTTTAACCTAAATATTTCTTTTGCACGTCAGTCATCTGAAGTGATGCTCCCTTCATATAAAGGTCTAAAGAATAGCTGTTTTCCCAGTTTCAATGAAACTGATGTCCGAAAATGTCTACAGTCACTGAATTCCCCCGATGTTTAGGACCTGATAGTATCCCTAACCTTTTTTTAAAGAATGTGCTGACGTACTGTTTTTCATTCCCGACTATCTATAACCAATTCTTCTCATCGTATCTCATACCAAAAATGTGGAGGAAGATGAAGATAATCCTTGTACCCAAAAAACTATCTGGTGACAATAGTGTGAAATTTAGACCTATTGCAATAACCTCACCCTTCCCCAAAACAATAGAAAAATTAATAATACTTCCACTTCAACCTGCTATATGAGAGCACATTGATTCGTATCAGTTTGCCTTCAGATGCAAAAGAAGCACCTTTGATGCTGTCGCCTTTCTGCATCATAACATAGTATTCAACTAAAATAAGGGCAAGAAGTATTTTCGATGAGCTTTTCTGGACTATACTTCAGTTTCTGATTCCATACCACAAACGTTTACTTAATAAGTTATTTAACGTCAGCACTGATAGCTCAATAACCAAGTGGCCATGTTCCTACCTCTCTGAAAGTGAACAGTACACTGTATTTGAAGGAAAGGGTTCAGAGTCTTTACAGTCTCATGGACGTGTATCACAAGAAGCAGTTCTTTTACCTCTTCTTTTCTTTTTTTCTGCATGATCTGCCGTCTTCCACAGAAGAAACATTTGTGAAATACGCGGATGATCTCACTGTATGTATGCCGATTTCAATCTCTTTACATCCTATTGAAATGAATGAGTTCTTGTCCCATATTGATTATCGTTTTTTTGGAAATGGTCTTGTACTTAATCCGTCTAAATGTCAAGCTGTTAATTTAAGCATGAGATATGAACGGGATCTAAACACCATTTTGAGATTCCATAATGCCTGTGCTCTTGGAGATTCCTTGATAAATACAGTGTCGAAAATTAATTATCTTTGTGTTACCTTTTCCTCTGATCTCTCCTGGCCTTCTCATGTTTTATTGTTATCGAAGAAGGTTTTCCGTCTGACTTACAAAATAAAAAGATTGCATGCTAATGTGATTACTCATCATTTACTCCTACGATTTGTCGTTTCTTCCATATTACCTATTATTCTTCCCCGGACATTTGAGAAAAAACTTTGTTGTATTGTGGAGAGTGCTGAAGGCAGTCAGCAAGGTGTATGGTGAATCTGTCAAGGTCATAATTTGTATTATTGTGGATAGACATCTAAAGTCATGCAAACTCCTGGCATTTGTTAGTTCATCGGATACAAACCTTCGCTTTACTTGGTGCAGTTTTGTTTATCATTGTTTACTTCTATGTTTTGGTTGATGAAAAGGCTGCTCGTCGGTTTCCGATAAGCTACATATTCTTTACAAGTCGAAACTGACAATATTTCACTCCCTTGTTGAGTTCCAAATGTTCATACGATGGGAATTTTATCCCATAGGTGTATTTCGTCATTGATCCTAATTATAGTTTTCTTAAATCAGACTCCTTAATATTTTCATGCATTTGAAGCGCTGTTATGGATGTTTTCAGGAGAGCAAGTGGATTAGATTATTAAGATAAATACAAATATATTATTTTTATTTATTAAGATAAATGTTCAAATAATTTTTCCTCATAAAAACCATCTATTGCCGTACGCAGTTTTTCTGTTTGTAGAATTTTCTATGCGGAAGCTGGATTTAGTGGAGCCATACTGCTTTCTTGTTCTTAAGGTGTTGACTTCTACGCGTCAAAAAGCTTTCATCAGTGGTGATTTTTCACACCGCCAGACGTTTTGTTCTACAAGACATCAGGATGCTAGTCTAGCAAAGATCTGTGCATATTTTCTCAAACGGGTGTCAACTGTGTGACGTGATGTATCAATATTATCTCAGCAACCTTTACCGTAATAATTCAGTATGCTTACAGCCACGATGGAGTACGATTCTTCTTTTCAAATGTTTAATTTTCTTCAGATGTTGGTAAGTTTAATATCTTATTTTGCAGTATTCTTCTAATGTACGAAAACAGTATTTTCATTAGTTTAGTATTCACGTATTAGCTGCACTCCGTATTTTGTAATTCATCGTTTGGTGATGATTATATGTACATTACAAACAGCACTCATTCGTGTTTCCTCGGTCATGTACAATACACGCTCATGGCCTAGGGAATTGTAGAAGCCTCTTACACTCGGTTAACATTGTGAGTAATTGCATAGCCAAGTCATATCACTTTCCAGATTAACTGTATATTTTTAGCTGTTTGGTAAATCAGTTTTGTCAACTCGAAAGAAGCATTAGTTTAACTGTTAAGATTCTTATCATTTAGATAATTATTCTTGAGAACTTTGGAAAGCTATGACAATATTTGGATAATTTATCGTCATTTGTATTTTCACGCAACGATGATTTAGTTTGGTCTGTTTCATAACAGGTGTTTGAACTCATAAATGTTCATTTCGAAAGGGTTTGCTCTGATTGTCAACCTACTGTCAAATCACGTTAGTTAAGCAGTCCCTCTTTTTATATTGCTTTTATTTTAGTGGTGATCTTGCGGAAAATTTAGATGCATTCAGTGAAACAGTCACGTATATCTGTCTACAGTGTTTGTCAATCGAAAACTGCGTAATTTGTAAATCGTCCCTGACTCTCTTAAATAGATAATCTTCTGATGAGGCACAGAAATGTTGATGTAAGCTGTATTATTTTGAAACGTTTCACCTACAAAGTTATGTAACCATAATTTACAATATGATTAGGAAATATATATTGCGCTAATAGCTTAACCGTTTAACATAAAAGACAATAGTGAATGAGAGTAGTAAAAGTTGGACTGAGATATAAGCAACACCAAAACGTTACAGTGAGTTTGTCAATAAGACAGAAAGGGAATAAATAAAATGATGCTAACTAAATGAATTACTTTTTAATTTTCGAACTTCACCACTGAGACGGATTCTTAGCCTATGCATAAGCTCCAACTAGAACATCCAAGTATAGCTCCAGTGAACATGGAATACTGTCACATGTTAACTTCGTTGTCTTAGATTTTTCTTAATCCAAACCTATTTCAATACGTATTATACGTTAACTAAGGCTTCTATTAGTCATATGCAACATATATGATAACCACTTATGTTGAAAATATCATATTAATTTTATTTTGCCCGTGACGAAGTATTTGATCTTCCTCATTTAACACTCGTTGTTTATCTACATATTCTTTCGTGATTTTTCCTTGAAAAAATCAATCTTTAATCACTGATCTATAGGTTGCATATTCTTCGCAGGTTGTAGTCGTCGAATCTACCAGTAGTATGTATTGCGATCCATTAGAACAACTAGAATAACAGAAAATCGGTCACTGATGACTTTGTATTACATCTCCACGACAAATTCCAGGTAGTGATCATAACATTGTCACATACAGCCTTGATATAAAAAACGAAACCGGTAGACATTAAACCGTAACACTTCTAAGAACCTTTCGCAAGGTTGATTTAAATAACTTACACAATTACCAAACAAGCACTGATTGGAGAACTTTCTTTACTTTAACTAATGCCGACACATTAACCAATATATATTTTAACAAAACCTAAAACGTATCATCAACAACATCGCACATTTCGAATACTGTAAACCTACGTTCTCCGAAGATCTCTATATACCGTTCAGTACAAGAAGACGTCTTCAAAGACATTGTACTCAATTCCACAACTCAAATGACTTTTTCTTTCTAGTAACGATGACAGAAATACTTGTTCGAACAGAGGAAATAAGTCAACAGAAAGCAGTAGCACAGGAAAAACGTGCAGATGAACTTGATAATAACTCTTCTGTACTCACCATACCCCTCCAAAATAAATTTAAACGTCGTAAATCGAGAGGAAATATATTCACTAAAGGCAAACAAGTATACGAAGATCCCAAACTAGTCACAGAATTATTTAATGAACACTTTTGTTTCTCAGTAAATAACAAAAAACCATTCAGTGATTCCGAATCAATCGCAGTGTCTCCCCGTGAAATTACTGTTATAGAATTCAATGTACAAAATATAGCCAAGGCAATCAGTACATTGAAACAATCCCACGTTGATGGACCACATATTATTCCATTTAGCATGCTAAAACGTGGTGATGATATGTGTGTTTTGCATCTCAAAGTATTCGTGATATCACTCTCTACAGCCTGTTATCCTAGTACCTGGAAAACTACACATATCATCCCCAAAAGTAAAACAGGAACTGAAGCAAACGTTGAAAATTACCGGCCTATAAACATAATTTCAGTGGTATCCAGAGTGATGGAAAAAGTAGTTAAGGCGGCTGTAGTTCAACATCTACTAACTAATAATCTCATGTTGACCTCCCAGCATAGACTTCTTAGGTCCAGGTCATGCGATACATGCCTAGTAGACTATCTGAATGATATAACTCTTAAACGAGACAGCGGACTCCTTGTATCAGTCCCATTCTTAGGTTTTGAGAAAGCCTTCGATAAAGTCACACACAAAAAGCTACTCGTCAAACTACAGTTCTTCGGAATACACAACACACTGTACTCATGGTTTGCTTCGTTCTTAACAGGGCGTAAACAGATGATAAAGTACAACGACTGTCTCTCGTCTACTAGACCAATGACCATTGGAGTCATCCAGAGAAGATAGCATTTGCCAACTTACGTCCCCTGTGTAGAAAGCGAAATATATGTCTATCAATAAAAGTACCAGTATACTGCGCAGCAGTGAGTTCTATTTTAATTTACGGCAGCAAAACAAAGCCATTAAGAGAAGATTATACTCATGAGCTACTGGTCTTTGACCACAGATGTCTTGTAAATATTTCTCGCATTTGAAGAGATCACTGGGTTAGTGATAGTGAGGTTAAACACTGGAAGACTACTTAGTTTGGATTCGCGTTACTATAGTAACCAATGCCCAAGACTGGGTGACATGGCTAAGGATCGATCACAATTGCGTATGTGTGTACATTACTTGTTTTCCTTAAACCATGGAATTAAAGTGACTATACTTTTCTTTCTACGCACTAAATGTTTCTTCCTGCACTATATCTTTGTACGCAGTCTTTCTTTTATATATTACCACCATCGAATCAACTGCTTCTATGAATCTGGTGTATATTTTGCTGTACTTATGATGTATGGCATCAGTGACCGATGCATATATATAACTGGTCCTACATTGTAGTTGATTGGCTGAGTCAGGCGATAAACATCGTATAAAATATTCATTGGACGGGTTTTACAGTGGTGTGCTTTCTAAAACTGATATTTTAAGGGTACCGAGGAATTTAAGACTCCATCTAGTCGCCTGCTCTTTTGTGTACTATTATCCAATCATTCACTGTACATTGATGAGAACACGACAAGTCATGCATGTTAAAATACATTGTATTAGCATGATGTTATACAGATTATATGATGAGAATAAAATGATTCACTGAGGTGGACAGATAATGAACACCGATGACAATAAACACAGAAATGTATAATTTTATATAGTGATATTGATATTCAGCAACTCATCCAACATTCTAATCTCCGTAGGAATCATTCTTGATGATTTGGCAATGGTATATATGTTTGTCATTGACCATAGGAAGAGAAATGGTTTTCTATCTGTTGATTGATTTTTAAAGAAGTAACCCAAATTCCTAGCACAAGAAATATGATTTGTTTATGCAGTAAACGTAATGAACAAGTCAACATTGTGTGTTTCATTTGACGTTAATACTCCGTAGAAACTTCATTTATTCTCTGGTTTTATTGGAGAAACAAGGTCATTCACCTTTTTCAATGAGGTATCACCTATGTGTCCACAATAAACTAACAATTAGAAGAGTTTGTTTTGCTTCTAACCGAATCACTCATTTTATTAATCCGTACAAAGTTAACTTGACATTTTTACGTTATCAACGGAATAAACATTATAACAATGTGTGTTCCGTCTGACGTCAATACCCTGTATAAACTTCATTAATGCACACAATCATTCATCTTCAATTCCATATGATATCACGCATTCGTTCAAGATGAACTATGAGTTAAATCAATTTGTTTTGTTTATTTCTAATCTAATCACTTATTGTATTGTTCCATACAAAGAATACTGAACCAAAGTTCAATGAACAAAATAAACTTTCATACGTCAACAAAGTTGATTCAAAGTAACTGGTGAATTTCACTATAAATTTGTGTAGAGCTTTTAAATCATTTACCAAGTGAACATCAGAATCACTTCATGTGAGTTTGTTAATTTCTATTGAGTAGTATGAATTAAGCGTGAGTTTAGATTTCTTGATAAGTCGTATTATAAGTAGCATGAACAATGGTGACCTTCGAAGTTATAGGCTGACTATAATAAAGAGCACTCAGAGCAGATGACTTGAACGATATTCAATTACAAACATGAGGGAGATTCGTATGTTTTTTAAATGCCTCACTCTTCTAAAGAGGTTACAGGTGAGAGATATGAATGAAATTGATGAACAATATTGTGTAAGATATCATTTGTCAGCATTTTGCAGGATTTTAAATGTCAATCAACCATGTTTATTATATCTCAAAAGATTCATTACACACCCTACTCACTGCATTCAGCACTCTCCACTGTATGACATGATTTTTCCTAAAAATCATACGCAAGAATAGTGGAGAATGTTATTCAGTAGCAGGCAATATACAACAATCAAGAAATTATCTATGTAAATGTCGAGCACGGGAACGAGTACTTGCTCTATCTGCATTAAGTTTGGATGAAAACTTTCCTTCATTTCAATAGGATAGGAGATGAAGTGAATCGGAAGGAGAATCTTAAACCACGATATGTGACGCTCTATATCATTTTAATTTCGGAAAATGCAATAGTACAAACGACATTGTATTACAACTAGATGTTTGCGTGTTGTTGGTGTTTCAATCTAAGGTCTGTTATTTGATATTTAATACAATTAGGTACGCGATCAATAAAAACAGACCATTTTTCGCGAAGATACAGAAGCTCATTTATCTCAACAGACTATGAACGGATGGAAATCTCCATTCCTGATGCACACAATGAGATCATCAGAATATTAAACAAAGTAGGAGGCCGATCATGTTTGGTTTGTATAACGTGAGAAACAACATACTTTCATTAAGTGTTATTTATTGAGATGAATAAATTCGTCAGTGTTAATTATCTTCACTAAAGTTAGTTCATTCACGCTGATGACCTCAAACCACCGTATATAGTATTCAGCTAAAGTGAATCCAATTTAATCAATTTTCATCGGCATACAATCTTCGTTATTAATGTCCTAATAGTGATACAGCAAACTAGTCAGACGAAATCGGGATTCTGTCCGTGAATCCGAATTTTTTGAAATGCAATGAAAAAGGAAAAGGAATAAGCATGTGAATGAATATGTGAGGGTCTAAGAATTTCATGAATCCGAATATCTCTATTACTGTATTTTGAATTCTTACTTATTTCAGTTGAATTCGGAATTAGTGATTGTGGAAAGTGAATTTTCAAAGGTGAATTGTTCACAAATGTTCATTGCATTTAGTTCAACGACGATGAAGTTCGCATTCGATATTGTGTCAATAGTGACCAGTGAAAAAAAAAATCATTGCATGTAAGACATTTATCGTTCCATTTGACAGATTAAGCTATGAACGCGTTCAAACATTTGACGATCCATTTATTCTCAGTGGTATCTTATTGACGTAAGTAATATATGTTTTAAATACAGGTTACATCAAATCATAGCAAACGATCATACTGAAGTGTTTTTATGTACATAGTTCAACACACGAATATTGAAAATCAGGGCATTGAATAGATATGTGCCACACAATTCAGTTGATTTGTGTGGGCTGTGAAACTGCCCGGGCTCTCAGACCGAAACGGGTGGTTTTCTTAGAGTGTTAAACCCGAAGCCTTCAAATCAAAGTTTTGACCCACAAGGCAGTTGTAGAACGTTAGGAGATGCAGTCCCATGTTAGCCAATGACCAATAATGGATTCAAACACTATTTGTTCGTGCGGGTTACTTCAACCTATGTGCACCTTTGGTTTGAAATCAGTATTTTTTGGCTCACTTAAATGAACACTTCGTGTCCACTAACCCGATTAAATCGTCGCTGTTCGTTATCTCAATTTCTAAACAAAACCCTCTCCAGGAAATGTTAGTGTGTAAGACTTCCTTGGTAGTGGCTGTATACGCGTGTCCATGTCAGAGCATTTCGAGAGGGCAGGCGCATTCTGCCCAACTTCGGTAGAACCAAAGCATTTTGATGATCATACATGATTTTGAAGACGACAACTCAATAATTATTTCACTCATCGATTATTTTGATAATTTGTACAAACTTTACAGATAATTTAACTGAGGAGTTGAGGAATTTATTCAACCACTTCATGGATAAAGATTATGCAGAACATTGATGCACATTACTATAGTCTAATTTATCGGTGAATTTAGTATGCTGTATATTTCTTTTTTTTCAGATTCATCGGATTATTTCTTGGATTAATAATAATGTTCATTAGAAAAATACACTCTACATCTACGAAGAACAGTTTCATCATCCTTATAACCGTCAGCTGAATGTGTTTTTAAAATTAAATTCATGATATTTTCATCTTAATATTTATTAAATTTAGAGTATATTCGTTTGTTGAGTAATGAAAATGTTGTAATGTTAGTTTGATAACGGCTATCAAGATAAAGAATTCTTAAAAAGTTAACCTGGACGCGGATGCACATAATACCGGTATATTGCACTCTGTTCTACGTTCGTTCATCTAACGACTTGCAAGATACGGAATTGGTTTCAAACAAAGAATAACACAACAAATTACATTTCTGGCATTTTCATTTGCATAATCATCCATACAAATTGTTTATCACTGAACTTGTGTTCTATGATACACAAGTCACCATTTAGTGCTTCAGGTCGCAGACATTACTACCTGTCATAGTTGTTCATCTATCCGAGTTGGTATAGCACAAGCTATTTGGGTGAGGACCTATATAAAATGGTCATGCTTAATGGAAGAGCGAATTAGCTATGAAATTATTTAAAGTTTTTCATAATGATAGACTTAGATAAAGATTCGTTTTTATGTGCTTGTATCGAAAGATATGTTCATTTCTCAGGATTTCATTCGAATACAGAACAGTGAGAGATATTCTTTCATTATTTTTCCAGTTAATGTCTGGTTCAACTTCTGAACTAGCGGTAATTTGAATCTAACGTTTTCTTTTCAGACGATAATTATGATCGTTGGTTTAGCGTTATTAATTTTTTGTGCTGAATGGTATGAACTATTAATTTCTCTACCCGCGGATACCGGGTTTACCACCTTAGCCATTCTTATGGGTATAAATCTAGAAAATTTAGACAAAACATTCAAGAAGATCTTGTTCATGATATTTTGTGTGTCTACAGGAATTGGATTATTTATCTTTTTTATCGGGTTTAAAATCAAAGACGTAAGTTGGTCTAATCATGATTTTCTACAAGCTAGTAGTGAATAATGTTTATTATTGATTTAATTACGGTTTTTACAAGTAGCCTTAGTTTTACTAATAAAATACGCTGATCACAAATACGATGAAACGTTTCCAACACCGCATTTGAAATACATTGGCAATTCATAATTCAATGAGGAATATTCCGAGCAAATCTTTGTTTTCTAACGCACGTTCAGCTGCCTTGAACATTTGTTTGCATCACTTTGCGATCATTCTCAATACGAAAATGTTTTACGTCATGATGTTGTCATCACGCACAAATTGCAAAATGAAACCAATTTCCGTAACACATCAAAGGAAATCGCAAAAAGTCTGAAATGTGTTGTGGAGTTTTCACTGCCTGTTGCTGGTACGAAGCATCATGAAATAATGTTATCATTTGAGAAATTGATTCTCAGTACTATCTATATATTAAATTGCGTTACAAAATAGTAAATTACAGGAAAACCAGAACAGCACATTTTCTAGCAACGATTTCACATTCCTTGAGTCGGTAGCTTGAATTTTGCATGATAGAGTCCTTGAAGTAAGTTGTTCATTGTCTATACAAATGTCAAGCATGAGACAAAACGTGTACGTTATATCGAAATTCGAAATAACAAACTGACAAACTCGTACATTAGGTGGTACATATTAGTTTAAAATCGTTAGAGATAAGTAGTTGAGTAATGCTGTTTCTTCACTGATACTTATGTCGCTTCATGATAAACTGAGATGAATTTATTTCCTTTCTTCATTCCAGCATATTTTACGAGGTGATGCTTGGCTTTGTTGGTGCTGCGCAACGTTTGTTGTAAGTAGTGAATAGATATATATAATTTTATTACAAATAACCATCAATCGATTAATACTCATTCGAAGATAGAGTTCTATTGAAATTAGAACTTTGATGTATTAGTGCTTTCTATCAACAGCATTCACAGGAATACATCATGAAAAATTTCTGAGAAAATATAACGAGATGTGTAGCCGAATAGCTGACTGAGAGACGTCGCTGAATTAGTTTCATCATTTGAATGTCTCAATTCACACGATGCTCAAATTATAAAAACGATAATCTGTCAATAATTGACAGATGAAAATACCAAGCACTGTTCATTTGTTATGTATGAATGTTGCGAAATAACTGGGCTGATAACCCTAAATCTGTATAGACTTATTATCTCACTGATACATTTGTTGATATGAATGCATCCATAATGAAGCAATTGTCTACATTTTTTATAATTACAGGTGATTGTATTCACAGCAGATTATCTGCACATACACCGTGGACAATTTTCTAAAATCTACGTTATATTCGTATTGTTTTATGAATATTTTGTGCTAAACATCGATTCAGAGCTTTTTTTAAACTTACTCTTCGATTGTAAATGGGGCAGAGTGAACAACTGAATAAGACAATGCTGATGAACAGGTGCTATTCCTTTGAATTTTTTAATTAATTTTACAGATATTCATGTGAATATCTTGAAGATTATTGTAAACTAATTTGCTATTTATAATACATGTTCTGTTAAATAGACGTTTGCCCGTTCGATTAAATTTTTGGATTGCAGATATTCTTAAAAATGCTGATAGACACTGAAACACATTACGTCTGTATTTGAAATTCAAACAAACTAATTAACCGGAATGATTTGTTCAACGCTCGTATTTTCTAACTACACACGTGACTATAACACCTCGTATAACTTAAGCACTGGAACTCTAGATCCCTACCAAGTTGAAATGAGTAGACAGAAGACTAGTGAAAGGAATGTTATTCAAGACCTTGTCGACAACTCTAGTCAAAAATGCACTCACTTATAGATTGATTGCACACAATTTGACTATTAATTAGAATGAAATCACATCTACAATAAAATACTCAATTATAACGAATCGCATACTGAGCATAGTTTGTGTTTATTGAATACAAGAATATCGTATCATATGCGGAAGAAAATACTATACTGGGAAAACAAAACAAATATTACACCTAATGATCAGCATATTGAATCAGAAGAAAGCGATGTTCAATAAAGCGCATAATTATTAAATCAATCATATCAGGTCGGTTTTGTTAGTCTGATACCGTTTGAGCTGGATGGATTTCATTGGTACTCTAGATAAAACTAAGCTTCATGAATTAAGCAATAAGTAGGCGAAGAAAATTTATTCGCTCATTACTAGCACATAGTGTCTTTTGAACTGGACCCTCATTGTTTTTCGTTGACCGTGACTTTCAATTGTCTCCACCTTCAATTGGCCATCTTCATCATGACTCTTCTGTTTGAAAAAGTTGTACTATTATCAATATGTGCAGTGAATGCTTTTGATCACTTATTTTATAATATGGTACCCGACTGTCTGTATCAAGCTGTCATATCAAAACAATTCTTACAAACCTCGTATTACTGCATTCTTTCATCCTGAACTCTAATACGTCATAGATACCAGTATGAAATTTTCTTATCACATAAAAACATGTAGAGAAATACATGAGTAACTTTGAATTGCATAGTGTGCAGTAACTATGCAACAATACATGACAACGTGGTGAACCAAGACGAATGAATTCAGTGACATGCAAAAGTGGTTTCATTATTGTCTCTCGTTTTTACTGCCGTTTTCAAAATACAAATCATACAACTTAACAAATTATTTATGTCTACATAGTAATTGTGGAGATTATTGATTGTTTTGATTGAAACATTAACCGACTGATCTTGGACCACCATTGAAAATCAGTAAGAAACGTACGGCCGTTTCGTCCCATTGTGTGACTCCTCAACAGTTATAAGTGGTCATCCAGAAGCTTCACGATTTTAATGATGGCTTTTCACCACTCAGGTTTTGTGATCGGAAGAAAACTTTTTGGTGTCCGCATAGTTTGCCAGCTTGCAGAAATACGTTGAGTGTGAAGTATGCACCAAATTTCACGTTTGTGTCTAGTTAAATACCTTCACGATTGCAGAGACTGTGAGCCAAGTTGAGTTTTTCCAGAAAGGTAAGCAGCATTAAATTTTAGTTACTGCACAACATAGAATCGGCAGATCCAGTTTTTGAGTCGTCTTGTGTAGATATTACACCAGTCATCTTTAGTATCAGATGAGCCCTCATTACGAGAACGATTTAAGACAATTGAGGAAGATATGTGTATGAACCGCAAAATGAATGTTTGCTAATATCAGTGGTTCACTAATTAACCCTTCGCAAAACTGTCATTCTAAAACTCAGAGCTAGGATCGCGTAGCGTGCACAAGATCGTGTGTTGTCTGCTTGAATAGGGAAGAAGGGCGAATATACTGATAGATGAGTAAAAACACTCACTGTTTGCTCAGGCACGCGATTTGCAAGGTATATTCAAATATTTAGATCAAGTTCCAAGCGTGAAACAAGATGAGAGAAGTGAAAATGGTAGCATACAACACGGCAACGTATTTGCTCGTGAAGTTCTTAAGCCTTTCATTACCTTACCTTCACGATGAAAATGCAGATGACAATGACTTTCTTCAGTAAGATTTTTATTAATTGAGAGTATCATCGTTCCATGGATGAAAATCTCGGATAGATTGCGTGAATAATGAAAATATAGTTAGTCACAAAATTATTTTCACTGTGAGAATACAAAAAACGAATTTCGAGTGGTCGATTGATTATCGCAGTTATTATGTTGCCCTTTCGGCCACTATGTTCAGACATTTGTTCTTATAGTTGTTGCTTTGTCAGTTTAACTTTACATCATGCTAGAATTGTTGTATTAACGAATTAACTCGTTGTTATTTTAGAGTAGACTGATTCTTGAGCTATTTTTTGTTCAGTAATTCTTATTCGGCTATTGTATTCTTTTCTTTATAATGACTTTGACATTCCGTTCACTGAAATACTGTCAAAATAAAGTATTCACACTGGCATTTAACATTGATTTGACGTAAATTGTTGAGTGTGATTTTCGATTGATAAGAAGAGTTAAATATACATACATGTGTCAGTAATGCAACGCCAAGTGTATTTTTGAGAAAAAATATTTTAACGCTAGCCATATGTGATGCCATAACTTTTAGATGCACAAAGGTTTGCTTATGAAAATCACGAAATGTTATTAGGTGGAATGTGGATAACCTTAAAAGTAAGGTTCATTTGCAAAAAGTGCTTCTCTCCAAAGATTCAAAAACGTACTAAACTTAACTGTAGACAAGTACTTTCGGCATGACCTACCACAAAAGTAAATTCAAAACTCATTGATGTTTCAATGATTTATTCATTTATTTAATTATACCATTATCCACTTATACGTTTTCAATGCTATATAAAATGCTCAGGAATTATATAGACGAGATTATATTTCATAGACGACCTTTGAATGAATCTTAAGTCACCTTGCGAAATGTTTTTCAATGAGCAAATAGTCAGAATAGAGTAAAAATATATTATACAAAACCAAAGAAATAAAGTGGATACACTTCTTATACGAGGTTCTAAAGAGTTTCAGAGGTCCTAAAATCGTAATGCGTGCAGTAGAGGAAATCATCACTGTGTCTACAGAATTGTCGAAAACTAGAGCCAAGTTAAAATCTCAAAAATTATTTCAGCCTCGACTACTTAGCATCAGTATTGTTTTTGTGCACTGCGGTTGTTGAGTACACAAAATGTTACTTGTGGATAACGTTACGATGCACATTACCAAGTCTATTTAGGAGTTTGTACGCTCTCCAATCATCCGCACGTATTGTACCACATGGCTGCAGCCAGTGTTACTGTTACTTTTAACATCCAGTTGGCAATAATTGTTATAAATTGTCTTAGTCAGGAATAATGTATGTATTGTTTTCATCAGGACTTGAAATCAGCTACAATAACAAAAATTTATTCAGCCATATAGATGAAAGTTCATGGCGCAAAATTTCGTTATCTGTTATCTTATACCTGATTGATTGGTCCAAAAATTATAGTCTCGTCCTTTTATTTGTTATAGTCGCTCATTTATCGCGTCTTGTCCGGTGGAAAGACCGTATATTACCATTGCAGAACGTACTGTTAATGTTTATTTAGGAGCAGGAGCAACGGGTAAATGTCACTGAAGTGAGAGCACAGCGTAGTGGAACAACAGATATATTCAAAAAACAGAAGACGCGTTTCTGATTAAAAAAGAGAAACCTATTACAAAGACGAATAATGCATCGTCCTGTGGGTTCAGCTAGCGTTGGGGTTGTTTAATTTTTGCTGCTCTGCAATGAGGAAAACAAACTCATTTCAGTAGCGTCATGTGTAATGATTCTTAATACCGCTAGAACATTAGACGCTAAAGTGAGCGCCGTGACGTTTAAATCCCTCAAGCGCTTCTGAATGGCTCGTCTATAAACTACAGTGCTGTCGTATTTTCGGGAACTAGATCCTGCTCCAGTTTGGCGACGAACATTGAGTGATTGGCAGTTAGATATCAGCACAAAATTCATTTCAATGCGAAATGCTAGCAATTTGTAGGCTCTAAACATGGCAATTTTATTCATTGTCGTGACTGCCATTTCGTAATAGCTTGAAGTCACATGAGCAGATACTTTATGAGCAATGTGTAGCGGAAATTCTTTGATACATGGCATATTTTACAAATAAGCTGTTTGTGTTCATGGAGTTCAACTTTATGCCTAAAGAACGACTCTTCAATACATTGTGTATCTGTTACCTATTAAGCAGTGGTGATATATTTCACATTGATGAGGCTAGGATTTACCTATTTTGACTGCCAGTCAGATTAAATGGATCATTTTTGATTCGAAAGCAACAGTATCCGCTGACTAATGTGTGAGTAAAAAAAATTAATCGAGATTCCGCGTCATTTGTGTGTGAATATTGTCATTGAAAAGTGATCTGTGAACTGATAAATGTATAACTGGTTTAATTCTGGCTCTGCAAAACGTTTTTCTACAGCTTTGCTTAGTTTACACTACCCGCCGACAAATCTATCGTTTTGTGAACGTTTGTTGAACAAGCTAGTTAAGAGCCAGAATACTAAATGTAGGTTGATCAATCTCCGCAAACGTTCTGTGGAATACCTTAACTAGAAATTCTCTACTTTTGAAAATGTTCAAAAAATAAGCACAAATTTTGTTAGACAATTTCGCAATATCATATCAGAAGACTAATTAGAACAATCAAATCTGCTTCTCACATGTTATTAAGAATTAATATTTAGTTTTATGCCTTGTCGAATGACTTCAGTGCTTGAACGTTTTCTACACTTCATATATCAAG